ATTGCTCCAGAAGAACATAATATTACAATTTCAATATTCAGAAAAACTTTGATCGATTTTTATGTAAATTCACGAATTAAATTATCTCATTTCTTTATGTGTCCATTCTTCTAAATACATATTTATATATTGATGTTCTAGTTATATTTTACTTGCCCCTAAAGAATATTATTAAAAATTACGTTTTTACTCGTGAAGAGTAAATTCTTATACAATTTATTTTTTCAAATAACAATATGTTATTGTTCTTGAAGAGCGTGATACTACGATTCCAATATTTCAGAAGAATATTAATATATTACTCTTGAAAAAAACGATAATAAAAAATAACATGCTTTCGAAGTAGTATATGTTTCGAAAAATATATCATGTGTAATTTATGAATTTATGTTTATCCCTGAAAGAAAATATATGACTTATGTTAGTGGACATTGATCATAATATGATTATATAATATTTAATCATATTCTCCGAAATTAAATAATTGAATTATATCTTATATTGAACAAAAAGTTTAATTTATTTGGTATGACTAGTTAGATTATCATTGGATCAATAATGATGCGAAATTAAAAATTTAAATGGGCATTCAACGAAGAATCAGAAGATTCTTCAATGTAATGAATTCCTATATATTATTTGTTCTCTTTATCGACAATTGATCGTTAAATATACATCACTAACTAAAATAGGGATTGAATTCCCTATATTTTTGAAAATTAATCGAGGTGATAAATGGGGTCTCATCATCTATCATTGACCATCAAGATATTATTTGTATATAATTGATTTGATACAAATAGTAGATGATTGCATAATGTTCACAACATAAAGTTTGCGAAATTTCTATTCAAATTATGATCATAATTTTCAGATTACACAATCAAGTCGATGTGTTTTGTTAATGCTAATGATCCTTAATCTCAACTTTTTGATAAGTCTTAGTTGAGTTGTCGTTCAATAGTTTAATATTATTGCTTGTTAAATACTTCTAATTAATTTAATTAACAACAAAGTATTCCCATTTCGATTTAGTGATTGTTATTATGCTTCAGGTCAATATCGTAGTTCTCCCTATTATAATTAGCTTAAGGTCAGAGGTTAATTTTTTTATCTACTTATTTTGATAGTGCAGTATATGTAAAATTGATCAACCACAATGCATTGAGATGGAAACTAATGAATGCTGAGAATAAATGCGTAGTTTGAACCCTCATTTCAAATGGTTGATATTTTATAACGCTGGAAAAATGATTGTCATTTTGATTGGACAATTCTCTCGGTATTAGGGGGAGAAATTAAGAAGCTGAAAATAATGTACAAATGCATCATTATCTAAATACTCGTAAAAGACAATTCAAACCAGAAATTCGAAGAATAATTCATTTAGATGCATTTACTGACCAAAGAGATTAACAATCTACACATCAGCTTTAAATGCTCCAAATCGAATTGACTCCTGGAAGGACAATTCGTTAATATTTAATATTATATTTGATAAATTTATGGCACGCCTGAGCGTGATGATATTCGATTCTTATACAAAATCCTCCAAATGAAAATGGAATAATTGGTAAAGATGCTCTTATTAAGGAGACATATACTCTTAATGAGTATTTAGACATAACATATTATAAAACCCCTGAAGAGGTTCAGATACTTGAAATAATGAAAATTGAGATATCTCAATAAGTTATGTCATTACAGAAAAAAAATAGAATCGAAAAAGATAAGAAAAAGTTGTCAACAACACTTTTGCACATGATGTACCGCATCATATTATGAATAAGGATGAATCGAAATAAATTCGTTGAAATATATCGATCGAAATAATGATTGGCCAAATAAAATGACGTGATCCTAGTGAAAGAATTTACTAGA